AATGAGACACTTCAATCTCTATAAATAGAGACCTTCAAATTCGTTTTTTGTACACCAAATCGATTAATATATTCTTGATTTTTAAGTTCATTCTCTCTCCATATTCTGCATAAATTCCTACGATATTTTCGTTGTTATTCCGTTCGAGTACGTTCATTCTTTGGTTCGACCGACAAGGTTGGTATTGTACAATATCGACTTTGGAAGAAGCGTTGTATCTTGGGAGACAGACGTCCATAATCCCGTTTGCACGTTGTTGGGGGGCGAAATTTATCTTAAGGAGATTTGCCTTGACATACCTCGCTTCATCTTCCATTTTTATTTTCTGTTATTTTCTTTGTTCTTTTGATTGCGGTAGTCGAGTTTCCAACAACAAATAGAATATTTTAAAATAGAAAAAAATGTAGTAACGGTCCCTAACCTTTCAATTTTTGCAGACTTTATCCTAATTTTCAATTTGTGCCAGCAGATGTTCTAACCGTCGAAAAATTAGCAATTGTCATCTATTTGACGGTTAATTGACTAATAATAGTAGAATTTGACCAAATTAAAAATAGTAAAATAGTAACTTCGTATTTATCCCAATTTATCCCTTAAAATAATTAGACCAAATTAAAAATGGTAAAATAGTTTGACTCTCCAACACTCTTTATTTTAAATAGTTTAAATGCCACTCCAATCTTATTTTTAAGTATTGATTTTTTAAAATAAAGAATATTTTGTGTTTAGAGAGTCTTTTGAATATGCTGACTTAAAAAAAAATACTAAAAAGTAAATTCTGATTAAAAGGCAGAATAATGTGGAACCTCCCCGCACCAAATGTGGACACGTCTGTCGACTGTCTAGTTAACAACAGCTGGTGCAAACGTCTGTCGTTTGTTACTTTGTTTCATTGCCATTAATATATATAGTATTCGTCAGATTAGTCTCTCTTCCACTGTCTTGTTACTTCTCTCTGGAACCTGCCATCTTGATTTCTCAGGTCTCTCTCTCTCTCTCTCTCTCTCTGTGTTATTAATTTTATTTTCTTTTGATTTTTCCTTTTATATTCTAATTTCGGTATAGTCATGCAATTGATTATTTGTTCTTGCTCAAAGTTAAAACGGATTTATTCTGTTCGCACCTTATTTGACAGTATGAAATTTTGTTCTTGGAATTGAAATTGAAGTCAGACACACACACACACACACACAGTCACACAGAGGACTTGCCATATAGAAGAGGAGGAAGTGAGCTTGATAGTCGACTACAAAAATTATTTTCTTATTAAATATGAAAAATCTTAAAAAGCTACTGATGAAATTACATGTACTAATTGCCATTTTCAAGCTTTTTAACTTTCATTGTAACTCATCCTTCTCATTGGATTGCTAACGCTTAATTTGTTGTTTTATCGATTACTAGATCATTCCGCTTCATTTTCCGGTAATTGATCTCATACCTCCAATGCGAATGATAAAAACTTCCGACTGACGTGACAAGAAAACCTTAGTTGTTAAATTCAGAAAATCAGAGCTAAGGTTCTCTTGCCATATCAACAGTGAGAAGTTTTTATTCTATCCACGTGGCTGAAAATCAGGAATGATCATCACCTAGCATCTTTTGTTCTCTTCACAAGTGTGGTTTTTTTTTTTTATTTCGTCTAAAAATTTAATCTTTTAAACGAGGCGATTTAATATAGTTGCAAGAGTTTGTAATTTAGAATTGAACTAGGTATGGGACTTTGGGTGGACTAGATCTTTTCTTGGTTAACTTTATGGAGGAAAAGAAAATGTTGGGCCAATTTTGTGAAGTGAGAGAGAGAGAGAGAGAGAGTCGTTGGGCAATAGCTCGATATTGGAGTACATAAGTCATCCTATTGACTAGAAAATGAATCGCATCTACGTGTGAAGAGCTAACATCCATTGTTTCTTGATTATCGTCAACTTGGAATGAGGTATTATCCTTTCATACTAACAATTAATCCGTTCTGTAAAACTAATTTTTCTTCAATGGATCAATTTTGACTCAGGTGTAAAATGGCAACTGTTACTATTCCTTCACCTTTCGTGCTAAAAGCTTCACCATCAAGGAAAGCGTGTTTTACAATAAAAAAGGACTCCTCGTTGTGCTCTGTAAAGCGTGTTTCTAAGTCATTTGGTTTTCAGTCCAATTCCATGTTCAAAGTACGCGCCATGGCAGTGTACAAAGTGAAACTGATTTGTCCAGATGAAGAGAAAGAAATTGAAGTCCCTGATGATCAATACATCCTCGATGCTGCTGAAGATGCTGGAATGGAGTTGCCCTATTCGTGTCGGGCCGGGACATGCTCGACTTGTGCTGGGCTGATGGTGTCGGGATCAGTCGACCAATCAGATGGATCGTTCCTCAGCGACGAGCAAATGGAGAAGGGCTACGTGCTTACCTGCATTTCGTACCCTAAATCCGATTGTGTTATCTACACACACAAGGAGGAAGAACTCCATTAAGAGATTTAACGGTCATTGGTAACTATTGGATCGAAAATGTTGTATTCGGATCATAAAGAATGTGTTGTGACTCGAATATTTACGATTTTAACTTTTGTTGGCACAATGATTTACCTTGCTCTTCATATTCGAGTTTTATATTAATCTGAGCTATGTTTAATACAAATATTGGATAACATTACATGAAAAAAAAAAGTCAAGTAATGTTATATCATACCTAAATAGTCGAGATGAGTTAGAGCTCAACCTAAATTTGGTTGTCAAAGAAGTGTGTGAGATGATAACTCGATCATATCTTTACTCGTACGTTGCGGGTTTTAATGTTGCCGTAGAAAATATCGTAACAATTTTTTGTCCGTTGTAAAATGTAATTTTTTTTTTTTGTAGTGCAAAATCATGAAGGTGTAAAATAATGTGATATGCGCTCCAATACGAGTTAAGCCATTACCAAAAACTCACTGAAACGATTTTGAGGCGCAGCGTTAACCACACGATTAAACTAGTTGCGCATTGTCAATGACATGGGCTATTTTCAGGTGCTGAAATGACAGTTTTTGATTGACAGTTTTTTATTTTTATTTTTTCAACTGTCAATAAAATATTGCCAAGTGTTAAATTACGATCATTGACCCTGTTCCTGAAGCAAATCTCTAACAGCCCCAAGTTTTTACTACCGAACCCACCAATCGAACAACTCCAAAGTGCCAAGTAAAGCATAGAGCTTGGGAAGTGACTTTGAAACTTGAAACTAATCATTCACTCTCCACTAACTCACACTAAAAATAAAGAAGACATTCTCATTATTAGGGTTACATTTACACTTAAGTATTTGGTGGTCGAGCTGGGTTACATTCACACTTAAGGATTTGGTGGTCGATCGATCTCCCAGCTCGACCACCTTATGGGACTTGAAGAAATCTAACTCGTGAAAGTTGGTGCAAAATCATACAAAATATTGTCATCAACAAGTACGATTTACTTTAGGATATCGTATAGAGCATTCAACGAATATTTATAAACTATTCAATGTGGTGTCATCTAAATTAAGAGACCCATTTTCTATGTCATAGTGGATGAATATAAATAGGTTTCTGAATTGGACAGGGTACCTAACTAGTGGTACCATCTAACATCGCCATGCTCGATCACCAATTTAAAATGGTTGTTGGATGATACAAATTTGTATGCCTATTTTGTTATAATTATCCGATTCAAAATTAATTGGTAACAATAGCTCATATAATGATCACGAAAGTTGTAACTTTTTAATGCGCATGGAGAATTGAATTAAATATGATAAAGTACAACTTAGGCGCAGTCTTAAGATATTGAAGAACGATGAGAAAATGATTCGAAATTGTAGGTTGCACTGTAGGAAAATTGAATTTTAAGTTGAATCGACATTCAAAATGCTGAGAAATTTTTCGATTTCGGTGGAGTCAAGCATGAAGTCGTTAAATTATGATTTGAGCGATTTAACAAATTAGAAGAATAATTGAATTTGGTACAAGTCCATGGCCCCCATATTTGAATACCCCCATGAGATTCATATACAGCCATTTTCATTGCCGCCTTATGATTCTGACCACTTACCTTACACGGACCGTTTCGGTTCTACCTTACCGGTCGGTCCAATTTTTCTTTCAAATCCACCTGCAATTTCCCCTTTAACCGATCGCCCAGGGCGAAAAATCGAGTTGAAGAGCCTCAAAAAACCGGTTGTCCTATGACCACCATTCTTGAATCCAATCCTTCCAGTACAAGATACCCTAGGAGAACCCGGTTCAGATAGCTGCATTGGAGGCTTACCTCCCGGTTCAGACCAGCTTCTGAACAACGAAGGATTTCCCACCTGGTTTAGCCGTTGATTAGCATCGCCAGTGAAGCCCAAGCGAGGTGTTTGAGTAGAACCTGCGAGTCCAATGAGAGATTTTCTGTGTTTTTGGTTGAAAGAGATTGAAGAACGGTGAGAAAAGGACTTGGAGTTCTGAGTTGAACCAGCGAGTTTTATGGAGGTTTTGCGTTGCATCATTGCATTTCGATCAAACCAATCTTGCTCGTAGTCTTTGGGGACCCAAAAGGAGTCAGGTGGAAGATCAAACAAGGTTTTTGGAGAATCTGACATGGGTTTTTCTAGTGTTGAGCTTTGGTGGACAAGAGAATCTATGGATCCTGAAGCCATTATCAACTTTACATACGTCTCCGTATCTATATCTATCTAGAGAGAGAGGAATTTTCAAAGTGAGGACAGAATTGAAGTTTGAATGAGGGCACAGGGCACTCACCATATAATAATGACAGTGATTTGTGTTCATTGATTGATGACAGCATTACGTTCCAAACCCGTTCATACGTCCAAACTTATAGCGTAATTTGGAGCGAGAAATCTGCCAAAAACTTGAAAATAAATATCAGTAATGCAACGCAAGTTGTATGTTCGAATTGTATTCTTGACATTTTGATCGGTGCAACATTGACTTGTGTGTCTTAACGCGTTTCAAACAAATAACAAAATTTTCTAATGAAGCATGCCTCCGTTTGAGCTCTCTTGAGCATATCTATATGGTGCTACATTGCCTTTGTTTGAGTATGACCTAAATTCCTATTGGGATTAGTGTTGATCTATGGTTGATCTCATATTTTGATTATAACAAACAAATGAGTTTATTTCTAACAATTGAATTCAAATCTTCATAGTTATTGTGGCCAAAATCGATTAATTGAAAACAAAAGGATTGCTACCAAAAGACTCGCAATTTACAATCAAAGAAAATCGAGATGGAAGCCGAGCAATCACGTCTAATCATTTGAAGCATTCACGTCGAATCAAGCACTCATTGAAGCTATTAGACTTAGATGCTTTGAATCCATATGTAAATGTAAATTGCTTTAATACTTAGCTATGAATCAGTAAAAGGTCATAAGTTAAAATTTTCATGCAAGAGATAAATTATTCATAAAAACACTCGCATAAAAATTATTTTTCACTTGATTTTTAAATATTTTACTAGTATCACTTATCTTGATAAGTTAAGTGAAAACGTCTTTCAAAAGCCTACACATTTTAAAACATCAAGAATAGAAAAAATCTGAAAAAAATTTCCGACGGACGTTTGATTGGTCAACGGTCAAATTTTTAACAGTTTTGATTTCTGACACACAAAGACTAGTTCAGTTGTCCAATTTAGTGGAGAATGTCTTGTAGGGTCATCCGGTTGGCCAGAAATTTTGGTGTTATAACTAAATATTACTTTACTTTACATTTAATATACAACCTTTAAGAGCCTTTATGTGAGATATTCTTAAGCAAAGCTATATTGATTTATCTGTTTCAAATCATTTACTTCGAAAAACATTTGATTGGATTAACTTTTGAAAATCATTTTAAGTTTTTCTCACCTAACATTTGAATTTCATTCATTGCTATTTATTAAAGTGTTATCATATTTCTCTTTTGGTATTTAATTTGATTATATCATTTATTAAGAGATAAATTTTAAATTGTACAATCACTTTCATATTAAATTTGTAGGTCGTGTTGAGGCCCCGTAAAGCTTAACATTATATAAGGATTGGTGCTCATTTGTTGTAAATCACCGAAAGCGTTATAAATGGTTGTATACATAATAAGTTAATCAATATAGTGAAAAAGCCTTGCTCGTGCCAAAGAGTTTGGTAACGTAGGACGTAAATCATTGCTTTAGATCGAACCTCCATAATTATATCGTTTGCATCATCTCTCTATCTTTCTTTTACTTATTGAATTTTCTATTTGAATTTATTTGAACCTTGCTTGTATTTATATTAATTTTTTTAAAAAAATTTAAATAATCAATTCACCCCTTCTTAATTAGCCATTCTTGGACCTTCAATTAGGATTAGGTTGGTTAATTGATAAAAGGAATAAGAGTCTTCTTGGTTTGGAAGTTCGGTTGAAAAAGGGATCAAAATTCATCAAGGATTGAAAGTTTGATTGATAAAAGGACTTTAAATAATTGAAGACTTGATTTTGGAGTTTTTGCGGAGAATAGGTCGACGCTTTTTCGCTAGCTGGGCGCCTTGTTGGCACTCATGCATTGAAGGTGAAAATGGAACAGAGAGCTAGCACTCGCTTGACGCCAGCATTTTGCTCAAGCGATAAAGCTGCCACCCGCCTAGTGCTCGAGCAGCGGTGTGTTCCAATTGGAGAGTCCTTTTTTTATTATGATTCATTTCTTGAGTTGTATTTCATTTAAAACACTTGTAATGAGTTCTTATATATAGCCTATGCGATGTATAAGCTTGTGAAAGTATAGCAAAACATTGTATAGTATTAGGAGAACATCAAAATGAGAGAATCTAGTTTATAAGGAAAGAGACTCGCATATTTTGAAATAGGTTGAGAGTCTCATAAGATCTTTTTGTATTTCTTTGCTATTAATCATAGTGAATTTTTCGCCTCTGCCCATAAGTTTCCTTGATTTGAATTTCCACGTAAAATCTCGTGCTCTTGTGTGATTCTTTTAATCTTGTTATATTTCTTGACTTTAATAATTATAATAAGTAGTATAAGTTCTATCAACAAGTCATTACAAATTGGCTCAATTTATAACAACCTTAACATTTGCTTTATCCCCTTCATACGGTTTGAGCTCAGCACCTCTTTGATAATTGAACCCTAGCACGAGCTTTGGCAACATGAGCTCTTGCCCCTTTGTCAATTGTTTGACATTAATGGTGGATTTATTTGGCCTGCTCGAACATTTTATAGATCAGATTTACATAGTCAATCCCTCGAACTACAAGCTCAACTCATTCCATCTCCGTCTGGATTGAAATTGAAATTGGGTATCACTGAGCTCGGCACATGTTGACTTATGTCTCTTCAGATCAATAAAGATCTCATCGTAAATGAGTTTACTCGGTATTATAGATATAGCCATCAATGAGTCAAGAAAAAACAGTAGTAGCACATATAAGGTTTGATACATTCAGCTCTGTTCATGAGTACCACAAGCAATTTCCTACTTCACAGAAAACATCATACTATTTAACGTGAAAGATCATATGATCCATGGATTTTCTTCATTACCTAAAAGACATCGACCGAAAGCATTAAAATCTGCGACACTCAGTTATGGCCTAATAGCCTACTTCCTGGTAATCAAATGCTAGAGTTAGAGAACTTGCTTCATAGTTTAAGCACGAATTACTGGCTCAAAGTTTCTCCTTGCGTTGCCTCTTCATCATATGCTACCTATAATTTCAACCATTAAAAATTGTACAAGGCTACAAGCTCTTCAAAGACCCACAATGTTTGACATTTGTCTTCCTTCGGAACACAGGGCTTTGCTCATTAGTATTAAACAAACCTCAGGCTGCCCTTCAGCAGGAAAATATGCTAGCATTCATCTGAATGACTTTTTGGATGTTTACATCATCCTATGAAGGGGAAACATGGTACCCATGGTAATAGAAAAGATTCAACTTGCCTTCAGAAATGGGAGAGAAGCTCAAGTTTACGAGCTTGGAAAAACTTGCAACGACGTTTGCCACTTGATTCAGTTTCTTCACTTTTTCTCTTCACTGGAGGGAAACCAACACTGGTTAGTTTCAGTTGTCGTTTCCCGGTCCTTCCATTGCTACCATCCTCATCAGTATCATCAGTTTCCCTATCAAAAGGATTTCTATTAAATTTTGACGCAAGTACTATATCATAAGTGCATAGTTTGTGAATCCAGAAGAGATTATTGAGCTTTCAGCCTATCAAGCCATTATTAGGATAGCAGCGTAGAGATACCAAATTTAAAATTCAGTGATCGTGGATACGAGAAGTAATATGAAATTGCTTAAAAATTCAAGAGCAGGAAAATGCGGCAACGCTTGTGATCATTTACATAGCACAAGAAAAGTTGAGAAAAGAAGAGAAGAAACCAGAAGCAAAGATGGACATTTGTCATCCTATATTCATTCAGAGACTAACCATAGCACTTCAACCATGTCTTTGGAATATGTTGTACATGTTCCCCAACTGAAGCGCACCAGTGTTGGGAATCCGAATATTGAGTGTTTTACTATAAGGTTGGTCCGGAAACAGTGTGGATCTGAAAGAAATCAATGTATGTTTATATATCGACAAGAAAAATGGACCACATAATATTCTAAATCAACCAAAATTAATGAAAAAATTACCTCCTGGATATCCAGATCCAAAACTCGTATGCATTTGTTCAGCAGTTTCATCAAGCACCCAATCCCGCAGAGCTCTGTCTCTTGTGACCTGAATGAAACAACAATTTTGACGTTCAAACTATCCAGAAAAATATGACCATAGAGCAATGCGAAGAGCCAACATAAAAAGAGAAGTATAAAGAGAATCACCTTTGCAACGATACTTGCACCACTTACAACAGGGTAAAGACTGTCAGCTTTCTTTGCCACCACAAATTTAGAGCATGTTTGGCAAAGCTTAAAATCCAATTAAAATTGAAAATATAGCCGTTATTGGATCCCACTTGTCTAATAAAAGTCAACAATAATGGTTAAATTTTCAATTTTAATCTAATTTTAATCCCTACCGAACACGCCCTTAATATTTGGAAATCTCTCTGACAGCTTTACTCTATACTTTTCAGCATCGCCAACGGTATCCACATAGAGCTGGTACACAGAGCATATTAATATGTTTACATCTTTTTGGTCTATGCCTGTTGTTCACTCATAATCTCTGATCAGTTCTCTGTTACAATGACAGACAAACATGTACAGTAAAAAGTCAGCAGTGTAGAACACTATCTGAATACGAAAACATTAGCCAAATACAACAAATAAGACTTATTTACAACAAACTACGGTCAGCAAAATTATACGATCCAATTACTAGTGGGACTTGAACATGAGCCCTCGCAATCTCAAGAGCTCTGAAAATTCACCCCAAGAGCTAAATGTCATAGTCAAAAACAAATATTAAACCGACGTAAAAAAAAAAATACTGAAACATTGTTTGAGTGGATTGCATATCTGTTGGTTTACTTTGGAGTTGATTGTGGAACTCGTATTTTTTTTAAATTTTTTTGGGTCTCTAAACTCAGTATGGAATTTCCTTGATGAATAGTTACAAGGCATGTAATTAGTGGAAGTGAAAGATCTAAATCAGATGTTATAAATATCCAGACTTACGCCAAGGGGAAAATAATCACAAAACAAAGAAGGAGAAAAGACAAACAACAAACTGAGCCTTATTTCAAATAAAAGGTAGCTACATGAATTCCTTTTTGCTACTCTGTTTGGCCCATCCTCCAACTACTGAAAGATCCAATACTAAAAGATCCTTCAAAACCATAAGACGCATTTTAATTTTGGTCTACCTCTCCTCTTACACTTCTAAACTTTCTAGTGGGAGTGCATCCCTTGTGTAAAGAAAGCTTCTTTAGATATGTGCAGGAAATGCCCTAACCTCCCAAGTCGTCCTGTTATTAACTTATTGGTGCCTCCTCCATTTCTTGGTGTTAGCCTTGGTATATGCTAAAAATTATCAAAAAGCTCCTTTTATCACCCTTGTTATCTCTTTAAAAGCATTCATTGGATATAAATAATTAACTTCTACCTCGGTAAGAAGAACACCTATGCTCAACACCTTTCTGACGAGGCCCATGTCAGAATCGTGTGATATTTCGTTAAGATTTATCTTATTTCTTTAGAGAATCAACCAGTACATATCATGTGATAAAGCTGCTCCACTGGAATATGTAAAGAATACAGCAAAAATTTAATACTAACTTCTTCAACATTTTGGATGAGAGCTCTCTTGGATCTATCACATCAACTGCCCATCCAATCGACTCGTCGGCCTTCAAATTCTCAAATAACTCTTCCCTCTTTTCTTCTTTTAATATCTTTGAATCTGCATACAAAGAAGCGTAGAGATTTCATTTGTCAAAACAATTTTTATGCCTGATAAATAAATTGCCAAGGTTACGAGCAACAAGCCAGTTGTAAACAAATTTAAATATGAGAGTTGAGGACCAAATTGCTCTTGGATACATGGTCCAACAATGTACAACTAGAGAACGAAAGCTTATCCCATTTTAACTCCAAAAAAGCCAAGAAAGGGAAATTGGCTAAATCTGGGTTTCAGCTATGATTCAAAAGTTTCATCAGAGTATGGTTTCCCATCTACTGTAATGTGTGGTATTGGAAGACTACCATAAACTAGCAGTCAGAAGGTCTAATGCACTGTCTACCATTAATTTCTAAATGCAAGTAACATCAACACTTCATAGCTGGCAGTGAATCAATTTAAAACAGATAATGATACTAGGTTAGAACTCTTCTCTCCTCTCCTCTGTGGAAAAGGTACTATTAAATGAAAGCAGAAGTTATAATGCTTGTTCCATAACATTTTTTTTAATCAAATTATAAAATGATCTTGTATGAATCATATGAAATTAGAATTAATCTGTTACATTGATACTACTACTTTTTATAGACAGTCTTAGTTGCTAACCATTGTTAGTTGTTTTTATGTAGCCTCCATTTTTGGGAAGAATTTTATAAATGATTCAATTCATAAATAGATAGAAATGAGTGATGGATGACTGGATAGAATTTGTGGATACATTGGAAAGTGCGGTTAAAAATAAAGTTTGACCATTTATAAACAATTTATAAATTTTGCCTAACAGATCGTTATTCATAAACTCGCCTATGTAACCTGTGTTGCTCGGACTCGGCATTTTGGCCGTCATACCCGTGTCGACACGACATGACACGGGTACCGGTACGAAATACG